AAGTGATGTAAAAATGTCCTCTGAGGTGTTTTAAAAATGTAATCCTCCTGATTAAATCAATAAGGAGATAAATCATTGTTTTCTGTGAGTGGAGATTCTGATCAAACAAAGTGATTGTGTGGATGAAGTGAATGTGTTCATGAAATGATTGAACACACTTTACTGATTTGATGTGTAACAAACTGAAGTTTGACATCCTGAATAAACTCACATGAACTAAATGTTTTCTTCTGGTCTTCATTGCAAACGTTCAAGTGAACAAAAAAATAAAACCTGCTACTGTTTGTACCCGCTGAGCTTCTGTATTCAGGAAGTTCAGCAGGAAATAGATGAAGTCAAATAGAGGGGAGGAGCTACAGAAGAGAGGAGTAATGACCAGGTTAAGTACTCTGCATATCACTGGAAAACATTCATCTGCTCTTTGTGAGGTATGCAATCAAGCAGAAGCAGGTGAACATGTACTTACTAAATGTAGGAAGTATGTAACACATAGACAGAACAGGAAGTCAGAAATGGAGAGAGAGAGGGACTTGTAAGAAGAGAAAAGTATTTTGGAGGGTGGTGAAAGAGGGAGAGGCCGAAGATGCTTGTTTAAATCTCTTTTGAGAACAGGTCTGTTGAGGATATTTAAATCCAGCAGATGGCAGTAATGACACTTTTCTGATGTCAGCTGCCAAAAGAAGAAGAAGAAGAAGAAGAAGAAGAAGAAGAAGTATTCAATTACAAAATCAGCTTTAAATCTAATTAATATAGATGTAAAGGTACCATTTGTAAAACTGAATACAGAAGTAGAATCAAAGAAGGTCTTGAGTGGGAGTGGAAAGAAACTTTAGGAGAAGGAAAAAAAGAGGCAGACATTATTTTAATCCACAACCTTTGATTAGGAAGTCTGTCAGTTATTGTGGAAAGTTAAAATAACTCGACTGAGGCTGGGTCACTGTGGGTTAAACCAATATTTACACTCTATAGGAAAACATCCCAGTGGGCTGTGTGAGTGTGGCGCTCCTGAAACAGTTATACACATATTATTCATGAGAAACCCATCCGGGTACTTTGCCCAAACGATGCCGGCCCCGCCCCTTTCTGGGTGAAATCATTCCATCTGAATGAATGGAGGTTAATGGACAAGTTGGCGTCATTACCGATTTAAAGTCTTAAAAAATGAAAACCGTACTTTAAAACTGCAAGTATGAGCCTAAATCTGATGAGCAGTGATGTAAACATTTAAAATATGACATTTCTGAACAGAGATCGGCATCATAACGGTATAAAATTAACCGTGTACGTGAGTGTATGTTCAATCTGCTCAAACGAGTCATCAGAGGAAACTGACTTTAAACACCTGATGAGTCATTATTAACCGTGTTACCTGAGAGGGATCTTTATTTTTAAATAATCTTTATTTGTAATAGTTTCTAACAGTGTTCAGAGCTGTAATGGAGAGGTTACAGACGTTTACATAAACTCTGAGTTATCAGCTGATTTAGAATAACACATGTAAAGTCACCTGGATGATATTAAAACCTTTTGTCTTCATACCTGAGTGTAAATAATGATGAGTGGGGCGAGACGACGTGTTATATCGAGATAGAGAACTTTTTATTTTGACATTTATTTCTCAGTAAGAGGATTTGGTGTAGTGTTCCTTCGTTTAGAGACATTTTCACCAACATATTTATGAGACGTGACAGTTGAAACGTTGTTAATACGTTAGTGAATGAATGTGTGAAGAATCTGTTAACAGACGATCGCTGCCTTAAAGCCAGCAGGAACACGACAGAGGTCCCACAATTTACCACTTTAATCCTCATCATCATGTAATGGCACAAACTGAGTCATTATGATGAAGCTGGTGAAGTATTGTGACCTCTAGTTTTGCTTGTTTCTCACTATACTGAATGTTGAAACAAACAAACATGAAACACAACAAATATAAAGTAGGGATGCACAGATGAATCAGTTCAACATCAGTAGCCTATTGGCTGATATCGGCCCTGTTGGTGCCAAATCAATTTAGTGCTGACTATCCAGTACACTTAACTACTGATTCAGAGAAGAGGTTTTTTATTGGTCAAATGATAAAGTGACCTGTTGAACAAACTCTGACCTGTTTTTATTGTCAAACATGAGAGAAAATGTTGGCATTGTGGGAGTTTACGAAACAAAGATCGGTATCGGAATCAGCATCGGCTAAATTTTTATTTCAATATAAATACAAAATGAAAAGTGAAGATGTATAACTTACTACATGGAAGTATTTTAAGTAATGAAGATTAACTCCACGTTGACCAGCTGCAACATTAAAGAGAAAAACATTTTAATGCATCAATAACTTTAATTAATACAATAATAATAAAATCTTATTTCTCTAAAGTTGGTGTGACAGGTTGAGGTCTTCTTCAACTTTTGGTGCTTAGCCTAAATCCTATTTTCAATTGAGCTATTTTTTTAAATTTAAGTAAAATAAAACCACTGATTTAATCATTTTTATGAATTAAAATAAAAAGAATGTACTGAATTGCATTTCGTGTAATGAAGTATTTCTACCATGAGAGGGCGCCACAGAATAATCTGATGAGAGTCCAGGCAGTGATCGTCTTTGACTGGAACAATGACTCACTTAGAGATAATAAAACAGTCCACGCAAAACTCTCACAAACTACTTTTAAACATCGACACACTTCCCTTAAATTGTATAAATCCAATCTTCTAACAGAGTTTTTCCAAAGTGTAAAATTTGTACTTTTACTTGTTTCGAGTCTTGCTGTTAGTTTGCGTGTAGAAATGTTGGATGTCCGGTCACTGGAAATTCCGTCAGAGTGAGACCTCTTTGTGTCTCATCTCCTCTCCGTTGTGTAATGCTGCATTCAAGTGCTGCTCGGGTGGTCCAAGTTTGCGAGTGGGGAAAAAGTTGATGTGCAATACGTGAATGAATAAAAAGTATTTTAACATTAACAAAACATATTTAGCCCCTTATGTGATGACTATTCTGACGTCAAGTCGGGCACCCAATTCTTTTCCGAGTTGTTTACAACTTGAGGAGGTGTTCATGTGCATTTTACAACTGGGAAGTTCCTCTTTCCGATTTATCCGACCCCACTTGAACGCAGCATAATAGGTGGGTTTGTATCTGTGTGTGTTCGTCTCTCTCTGTAGTGATGTGAAAAGCAGTTCTTTTCAGTGTACTGAATCAGTAGAATCAGTTCAGTAAAGTGATTCGTTCAAATGATTCGTTCACCGAATCGTTCAGTACTTCTCTGCAGCTCTGTCTGTGAATCAGAATTTAATAAACTGAAACACGGCCGAACGTTTAGTTCTGCTCGCGATCGTACTGAGAACAGCCGGTGGTGAATAATAAACCAATGAGCTGAGAATTTAGTTGGATAAAGTTACAGTTTGCAAACTGAAAGCTGCTAAAACAATCACATTTATTTTCCCCGACCGTTCTGTTCAGTACGTTCAGAACACAAATCACTCACTGACTGACTGACTGAGAGGGAGAGAGAGAGGAGGCGGAGCTCTCGTTCAGTTCGTTCAGTTCGAACTGAACGAACTGAACGAACTGAACGAGAGCGCCGCCGACGTGAATCACTGAACGAACTGAGAGGAAGAGAGAGAGGAGGCGGAGCTCTCGTTCAACTGAACGAGAGCTCCGCTCTTCCTCTCAGTTCGTTCAGTGATTCACGTCGGAACTCTCGTTCAGTTCGTTCAGTGATTCACGTCGGAGCGTGATTCACGTCGGAACTCTCGTTCAGTTCGTTCACTGAACGTACTGTGAACGGGAGCTTTGAGGACACGAGACGGAAGAGAGGAGAGGGCAACTGAAGTTGAGAAATGAACAACTCTTTTTAGTAAGTGATTCAGTTCAGTTCGTTCACCCAGATGATTCGTTCGTTTTGAACGAATCGTTCATGACCGACACATCACTATCTCTCTGATAATCAGATCCGCATGAAGCTGCTGCTGCTCGGTCGGACTCTACGCCCGTCAAGAAGTTTGAAGTTTTGGAAACAACGGAGACTTTTAGAGTCATTTAAAAAGTGTAGCTGTTCAGTCTTGTCTTGTTTTTCTCTACTTCACCGTCCCGGACCCACGGGGGACCGAGGAGTTTCTCCAGACGGGACCGAAACTCTTCGCCTAGCCGTTAGGATGGAACTTTAACGAACAGTTTTTTTTTTTGATCCGTCTCCATGGAAACGGAAGCCCCGCCCAAATCCTCAGAGGTAACGGTGTCTCCAACTTCTTTAAATATGTATTAAAAACAGCCCGATAAACTTAAAGATGACATGTTATCCCCCCTCCTCCACCTTTTCAAACAGTCCCCTGTGGTCTAAATGAAACATCTGTGCTGTGCTTTGTTCAAAATATAACATGAATCAAGCACCAGAGGAGGTTTGTGACCCTGTATAAACCAGCTCTCTCAGAACGCTCCGTTTTGGTGTGTGTGTCTCTTTAAATGCAATAAGCCCCGCCCCCTGAGTTTTCCCGGGTAGACATCACTCCTCTGTAGAGAGAATAAAAATGACAGACATGTAAAAGTTTAGCTTTAGTCTGGGGTTGGAGTCCATAGGTGGAGACACCAGGGGAGGGGAGGGGATTTTTTTTGTTTTTTACCAGAATCCCACTGTGACATCACAAGAGCCGTTTTCACTCAGGATAAAATTTGGATAATTTCTGGAGAACTGCTGTGGAGATTGTCCCGACCTAGCACATTATTTAGGAAATACAAGAAATGAACTGCACTTGTTCCATTTGTGTCAATTATAAATCTAAAATCTCAGTTCTTACAGCTGAAGCAGACAAGATCAAATCGTTCATTTTAATTGAACTTACAGTCAAATACCTGAAATTGGAATTGATTATAGTAAAAGATAAAAAAAAACACCTGAGAATTTGGAACAGGTGAATCCTTGGCTCTTTTGGCCGCAGTATCTCGTGTTTACTGGCTTTGTGTACACACTCCTCACGCTCAAACTATTCTGTCGTCATTCACTGCGAGATGTGTGACTGCACCTGCCAGACGGGTATGAAGTATGCAGATTTGTCTGAACACGCTGAGCTCAGATGTGTTTACCTCTGAGCTACAGCTGTCTGATCAGTTTGTGACTGAGCCCTGAAGCAGTTTTTTTTAATCATCCGTGTAATTAGATCAGAGACGATCTCACTCATCTGAGAGAGACATCGTGGACTGTCAGTGATCGACAATCAAACAGCCTTCATGGAGACGTGTCCAAAACACTGAGATGGTATGTTCAGGTACATGTATGTATTTTGGGTCAGTGAAGACAAACTCAGATTGTACCTTAAGGGTACCTCAAAACATACTTTTAATATGTAACATTTTATGACAATTTTACATTCAAATATCTGAAATAATAAAAGATTCACTACATCTGTTATATAATATTATTCGGGTGTTACACCCATTGTAGACAGTCATGACTCACAGAGTTATTTTCAGAGGAGATACTTGATTTCTATTATATTTAAGAGTGAAAAATCACATAAAGACTTTAAAGGATATCTTAGCTTAAAACCTCAACACAGCCCCTACAGAGTCTGAACAGTAGTTTGGTTATTGGCCAGGATTTAGAGCAGGATCACCTGGGTCACAATACAAAAGGTGTTTCGCTGTGAGTTCAGGAAAATTGATTTATTCACGCAACACTTTGCTGTATCCATCTTTTTTTGTACATCCATACCAAACAGTCACTACCTTAAGAGTAGAACTGTGGCTGTTTTTCACAACAACCAAAAAGTTGTGGGAAACTTTCGTAAGATGTTACGAAAACAATTCTGTATGAATATAAAATCAGTTGCTATGAATCTGCAAAATAACCGTCAATGACTCGAGCATTCAGATGAACATGCCTTCACAGATCTGGCGCAGGAAGTGTTTTATTTTCTTTGTTTCTTTGACAAACTTGTTCATCAGTTTAAAGTTGTAACCACTGAACCTGCAAACGATAACGGTGACCCATAAACGGTGACCCATATTCCCAGAATGGAATTCCCTGACTATCCCGAATTCTGTGATTATCCAGGATTCAGAGTTTTGTGTTGTTTGTGGTTTGTGGAGGGTTTCAGCAGTGTGGTACAAACTAAGGGACAACAGAGGGAATTTTTACTGAACCACAAAATGTAAAGAACCTGTTCCTTCAGAGCTTCAATGTTAGTGTAGACACACACACACACACACACACACACACACAAATAACTCCACAAGTACACACCCCTTCACTGCCTGCCCCGAGGCAGAGGTCTACTCCACTGTTACAGTGTAAATACTACAACAGAATCCAGGTCAGTGACAAATTAAGATTCTACGATGCCAAGAGCAAAGTGAAGGCTGAATTTTTCACAGCACAGACAAGTTCAGCTTCCCTTTTTTTACTTTCTTGAACCACGACTTCAGGGAACACGTTTATTTTTAACCAGACACAATTCAAATAAAAGGAACTGTTTTCTACCAGGCAGTAGAAAATGATTAAGATTCATCACTTCAGCAGGAACCAATGGGCTTAGAGGTCAGAGCCACAGAGAGGAAATCAGAAAGGACTGAGAGACAGACGATCACAAGTTGGTTTCCATTTTTGTTGACAACAGCAAAACGGTAGAAATGTCCTGAGTCTTGTGGTTGAATCACATGAGAAACATGTTGCAATAAAGTTCTGATTGTTTGATCAGAATCAGACAACACAGAAAGTGACAGGAAGCCCAGGGCGAGGCAGAGCTTAATGAAGCCGTTGGGGGTCATGTGACTGACCCTGTGTGTTGTCATCTTTTCATGCAGAACAAAAGTGGGATCATGTTGGAGTGGTTAAACAACACCGCCTCCACAGTAAAGAGTCACAGTGACCCCCTGACCCTCCAAACAGCAGGAGGCCGACCCTCAGTGAAGAGGCGGGAATGTTTGAGCCTTTATTGACCGCCGCCGACACTCAGCTCTGCGTTGTCCCCGCTGCTAAATGACGTGTGTGTCGGTATGTGTTTGTGTGTTAGCTGTCGGGGAGGACGAGCGGCGCTGAATGGACGCTCACTTTCTCACATCAGTAAATTCGAGCCATAGAGAAAAAGTCTCTCAGAGACGTGGGGCCGACTGTCAGAGCTACACGGTGAACATTTGAGTTACATTCACAGCGTTGGGTGAAAATAAAACAGAAGTTCTGGTTCATTTCTTTTATTAAAATGAAAAAACAATGTTTCGTCCCTGATTTAGCCAGCGTCACCTCCTCTGCTCTCCGACTGCCCGTAAGAAACATACTCATACACTTTTGTGTCTTACTAAGACGACAAAACGGGATGCAAATATTATCAGTATTTGACGACTTTTGTATTTGAACCGACCACTTAAGGATTTATGTAAAAGTCGAGATTCTTATCTTCTGAGATTTTAGATAGATTCATAACTTTTCTTTTTGTTGGCTAACCAGTCACTCCCTGCTAAGTGCTAAGGCTACATCTTTAACTCAGTAGAAGTCAAATGGAGCAGCAAGAAATTCAGCCAGTCTCCCAGATGACTGGAGGAGATCCTGAAGTATGTGCTCATTCAAAAATAGACTTTGAATCCATGGATCCAGAATCGTTTTGAATCAAAAATAGACTCTGAATCGTGGCCCCAAGAATCCAAAACAAAACGAATCGTGAGACACCGAAATAATCGTTTTGCTTTAAAACGCGTGGAATCTGATGAACGTGCTTGGTGAATCACAGTACAGAGCCTACAAGCCTACACCAACTCCCTGAGCTTCTGTCTAATAATAATGAGAGTTTAATCTCCAAACACACGCCTAATGTCAACATGGCAGCATGCTCGTATACTTCTATTAGTCCTCTGGGAGTGGTTTGGGTTCTCAGTGTTGAGCCTCAAGCAAACCGCTGTCCACTGTAAGGTTCTCTGAAGTCACAAAAAGCAGAAATCATTTAAATGCAGCCCAAGTGGGAAAAGTTTGTGGCACTGAAAGTTTCACTAGACAGCAACCAGCTGGATAGCAGCCGGCTTTATTTACCAAAGGGCCTCCACTAGTGCACTTTGGCCACCAAAGTCAGGGGCTCGGCGGCCCCCAGAACTTTAGCATCCATATACCTGAAGAGGAATCCAAAAAAAAGACGCCTGCATGACTCATATTGCAGGCGTCTCATTAATATGAGTCATATTAATCTTTGTTTAAGATTACTTATTCTGATTGTCTTTTTCTTTCACATTAAAAGTCAAACTTTGAGTCCGACACAAGCTCAAGGTAAAACTCTTTATGAGCAAAATCATTCCCAATTAGCAAAGCTTTAATCAATGCAACAGCCTGGTCCGGCTACCCGCCACGTGGCAGAGAGGCCGCCGATATTTACTTGCCAAAAGGAAAATGTTCCAGCATTTGGCGACTGAGGGGTTTTTCTCTATAAAAAAATCCTTATGCATTTATAGAATCAAAACAGAGCGTCTACACACACTCCTCCTCCTGCTGCTGCTTCTTGTCCAAACCTCTCAGTAATTAAAAACAGGTCGTTATCACACCTGGATCATGAGCCTGATTGTCACTTTATGGCTGACCTGTTAACTGGTCGGGCCTGTTTATTTCTTTATGACACGCTGATATGAATTTTATAGAGTGCTCGTAATACCAACCAGCGTAGTGTGTGTGCTCTCTCATCATGTATCTATCCAAACAGAGGACAGGTAATGTCATAAAAAAAGGTAAACAAGGTGACAACCTGCAGCCTGACCTGAGCTCATTTACGCCCAATTTACCTGAACCATCACAACAGAGGGATAAGTATTATACTACATGTTAAATCAAAGTACAGTGCTTTATTATGTACAGACTGATGTGTTGATTAAACCAGCTACAACCTCATGTCTGAAGAGTAAAGAAGCTGTTTTAAACCTATTAAAATACAAGATCTAACAAGTTTTTGGACTTATACTCGCTGTAAAGTTGCTTAAGGACAAGATATCTAAAGTTTAAACTGATGTCATTTGTGATTTTTATGAATGCTGCTTTTGTAATGCTGCTAACCAGTTAAATTCAAATAAGGGTTTTTGCATAAAAGGGACAACAACTGAAAGTCAGTTATTAATGTTTGGACATGTTTGTAATCGTAATTTTTGATAGCTCATGATTTTAACTCGATGTCTGCAGATTTAGTTTAATAAATTAATTTACTTATCGCACTTCAAATCGTTATCGCAATACAGAACAATGTTACCGCATATTGTTCTCATATCGTGCAGGCCTAACTACAAAACATATAGTAGAGAAACTAGTCTCAGAGTAACATATGTCTAAATGGAGGGAAATTATTATAACAATATTGTTATTACTCAAATGTTACAGCTGATAAATAAAATCATGACGTTTATCCATTTTAAATGACTTGTTATTATACAGGACAGTGGATTTATACCTAAATGTATTGTTAATATACTTTATGGGATTTACTACGGTTGTTAAACCAAAAGTTTAATTTTAAGTAAAAGATAGAAGGTTTAACTTTGTATTATTGTGGATTTCAAATGAAATCAGTCGCAATTTTTTTTAATTTAATTACCAAAAACGAAATATTGAATTAAATAAATGTATTTGGTCATTCACAGTTTGTAACATTTAAATGTTTTTTTTTGTACTTTATTTTTCCAAAAGTAAAACACCAACGTGACAAAACGAAAAGACATACATAAAGCAAACTATAAAAACAAAAAGAAAACAATCAAACAAACCAGTAACATCAAAACACCAGTCCAAATTCATATGTCATGAGTATGTAAACCATCCCACTTAAAAAATAATAATAACACTAGTATATAAATAAGTAAACATTTGAAATGTGATAATTGATAAATGATGTAAAAGTTAAATCAAACAGCACAGCAGGAGAGAGACCCCTGATAAGATAACATTAGTCATCCGTTACCTCTCATCCAGTCCACCACCTGCTGCGGGCTCCACTTGCTAACAGCCTCCATGACTCCAACACAAACTTTAAATTAATCTCTCACTTGTCCAGTAAAAAAAATCCCGATTGAAAAGGTCAATAAGACATAATAAGGAGCACCGGGGAGTCCCGTTACAGCGGACACACTCGGTCCTCCGCTCGCCGAGCCCGACTGGCGGAGCTCATGGTGAAAGTTTACAGTCAACGCAGCGCATGGGTCCGGTGTCGGGTTACAAAGGGTGTGGCCACGCCTCTCTCCCACTTCTCGTCCAATTGCGTAAGAGTATGCCGGTGTTGCCTTTAAGTGCCGTGGGAACAATAAGAATCTGACATACGATGAATACAGTAGCTCTCAAACACAATGTAGAAATAGTAGGGCTGGGCAACGATTACAAGTTTTAATCGCGTTAATCGCATGAGTTCCTGTGATTAATCGCGATTAATCGCATTGTTATACGCAAAATCCAATAATGAATTCAAAAGTAGTGTATAGCGCACTTTTATTGTAAATGTACTTCTCAACTTAAACAATGTAATCAAAGCAAATAAATACAAAACTAAAGCTTATTGCATTGGTTGCAGTGTGGACGCAGAGTGGTGTGGGTCTCCTCTCTGACTGCAGCTGGGTCTGCTGCTCGAGGCTACACTGACAGCCTGTGATGCTTTAGGAAGGGGGAGGGGCTAATGGCAGCACCCGCTGCTCGTTGAGTAACTGCAGAGCAATACGTGCTTTCACGTCAGTTTCTAACACCAAAAAAGTCTCCAATAACACCAGAAAAAGTCAATAGATTTGTCGATAGTAGCTGTTGACAAAAAAAGTCGCCAAGGCGGTTTGGAAAGTCGCCAGATTTAGCGAGAAAGTCGCCAAATTGGCAACACTGTTCCCTCTTTCCTGTGAGCGCCGCAGCAGACATGCGCAGCAGACATGCGCAGCAGTAAGCAACATACGAGGCTCGCTCACGATGGAATTTTACAAAATAAAAGCCAGTGAGCAACAGACTTTTACAATAAGAAAATAAACAATAAAAACTGCGTTAATGTGAGATAAAATAATTGTCAGCGATAATTAATTAATGAGTTAATGTGAAAATAACGCCTTAACGTGCCCAGCCCTAAGAAATAGAATATAGAATAAAAATAGAAATAGAAATAGAAATAGAATAAGAAGAAAGCGCAGAGTATCTAAATAAATAATAAAAGTCCTTATTTGTTGTTTTTTTAACAAGAGACTTTAATGTTATAAAGTCTAATGTTTTAATATGTCTACACTCATGCACTTTAACTTATGTCAATACTGTCCATTTACAACTCTGTTTTTGCACATTTACATTTAATCTTTCTTATTTTTAGACTAGTAATGCTAAGTTAAATCCTGGTTGTATATATTCTCATTCTTAGTTTTGATATTTTTAGTGCTTATTTACTTTGTATTTAATATTATATTGTGTTTTTTGCTCATATTGTGTGTTTGGATAACCTGCTGCTGTAACGCCTCAATTTCCCAGTTTGGGATCAATAAAGTATTTCTATTCTATTCTATTCTATTCTATAAAAGAGTCTCTAATGCTCATTTTTTTAATGAATCTTTCCAAATTAATATGATTTCTTTCAAATTTAGATCATGTGCTTAATTTCCTTTGGCCGTCACTATTTGATTGATTGATTGTTCTTTTTTTATGTGTCATGCTTACAAAGCGCCCAATCCTCATTTTTATTTATTTCATTTCATTTGACATTTATTTTACCAGGAGGAGATTCTCTTTGAGATACAACACAGAGAGTCCTGGCCAAGACAGCAGCATACAAGAGTTTCAGACAGAGAACAAAAGACAGACGATAAACAAATATTACATCATTGAACCAATCAGGAGCTTTAAACAGAGAAACATGTGATACAGTCGTCAAATGGTCCTTTAGGCTGCTTTTAAAATCTTTGAAGACAACTCATGGGTTTATAAGACACCAGAGATCCAACCCCAGTGGTTCAACAATTCATAACAAGTCATCACAAAGCTGCATGCTCCTTTAACAGCTCACTAAATAATGTATTTTATGTAACATATTATGGGAATCATCTTCCCATTATGACCAATAAAGGCCTATTGAAATCATAGAAGTTGACATTTTCTAAATAAGGAAAATGCCCTGCACTATGCTCATCCTTTAGACCTTAGGATTCCTCCAATAAGAATGTGTACTTCAGTCTCTGAGCATTTCTTTCATCTTCTGAGCTCCACAGCAGCTCCGTCATGTGTGCTGGGTG